AAAATGTCATTATGACCTATGCACTTTGGAGTACTAAATTAATTGTGAGGAGTAAAAAATATAATTTTTTAGCCTGGGAAATGTAATTGAGTAAAAGTATGAGTACTCAAGAGTTTTGAACGTATTCAAGTGTTTTGAAATAGAAGGGATAACTCTATAGTGTGAAGTTTTATCTGTGAAGCTCATGTGTATTAGTATGAGAATAACTAGCTACTAGTTATTACACGGCTCTTTGGAATACATGATTGTGATTGGTCTCCCATTCAATAGAATGATATTTCCGGTTATCCAGTCATCAGAAACCAGACCTACTTTCATGTCTCTCTTATCACACCATAGACTCTTATGTTTTATAGAAACATAACTCAACTGCCGCCATCTTGCGTATCAGGTACACAAGTAAACTGTAGTAAAAAAAAGAGTACTTAAATATGAATATTACTGTAATATTTAGCAGTTACTGTCTTGTTGCTAGGAGGACTGTTTCTAAGCAGAAGATTTAAGCATATATTTTAAAGGCACTAATCATTATATTAACATACACTACTGTCCAAACTAGGGATGTAACGGTATGAAAATTTCTTCTCACGATTATAGTGACCAAAATGATCACGGTTATCGGTATTATCACGGTATTGTTCAAATGTGCTGGAAATGTTCAAAAAGTACTGACACACAAATCATTTCACCAAGTTTTACATTTAAAATCAACAAACAACAACTAAAATGAGTTTTTGTTTGCATAACTAAAACAATAACATTGCCAATGATGTTCGTATTTTAAATGACAACATGACTGACAACAGTTTATCTAATAGCATGTTCAAATATCTAATGTAAATGTTCAAATAAAGCTTGGAAAAAGTTTCGTAAATGGTAAACCTCACATTTCAGCTTTTAAATAAAGAAAAGAGTCAAGTCAAAATGATAATTGATTAATAAATGATTATATGTATTTATCTGCTCCATAAATAACACTAGATACCTTATTGTTTAAATGTGTAGTATCCACATAAGCTTGTTTTTCATCAACCGGTCAAAATTTACAGCAGGGCATGCTAATTTGGTCAGTTTTTTTATCTACACACCTTTCACTTTTTTAAGACTAAAAAAGTCTTAAATGTCTTAAAGTCTTGTCTTTAAAATGACTTAAAAGTCTTAAATGGATTCATTGTTATTCTTAATTAAAAAGGATAACAACAATAAAACAGTAAGATACAATGACAAACTACACTCTTAAAAATAAAGGTGCTTCAAAAGGTTCTTCAAGCGATGTTTTGTGAAACAGAAAGGTTCTTCAGATGTTAAAGGTTCTTTATGGAACCATTTAGACAAAAAGGTTCTTCTATGGCATCGTGAAGCACCTTCATTTTTAAGAGTGTAACTTATAAAACGTTTATTAACAAAAACGAATAAGACGAAGCATGGCATACACCACATGCTGTATTATATACTGACTAATAAATTACAGAACGTTTAGCAAACACTGAGGAATCAAATAAATAAAAGAGAGAGCCTCCATAGCATAATGTGAGGTAAACAGCAAAGATAACAAGCTTTTCAAAATGAAAACAAAAAGAAAAGTAAAACTAAACTTGCTGTCGGTGACAGTGCTTGCATGTTTTTGTCCCACAAGAATACCAACATGTTCACCTTTGGTTTAAGAAGCGGTCTTTTACTTTACTTTAGCATGAAATCCATCTATCGTTTCCTCAATATTCTATTTTTATTTTATAATTTTTTTATTCTTCTTTTATTATGTGTGTTTTTGTACTGTCACTGTCATTCTGTTCAATCTTCTGTCATGAAAACAAATTCCTTGTATGTGAAAACATGCCTGGCAATAAAGCTCATTCTGATTCTGATTCGGAATATTCTTGCTGCACGCAGCTTCGCGCTCTTGACGCGGCGCGCCAGTGCGACCGCACACAAAATTTAGTCGCACCGGCAGAACAAATGATCGCAAAATGCGCCCATTTGGTCGCACACTGGAGCCCTGTGCAGTACAGTATTTATTTATCCTCAGTTGTTCAAATCGCGGTAATCGAATACAGTTATAGTGATAATTAAGATATGAAACGGTAATACTAACCGTGGGGTATTTTATCACGATTTATCGTCAAACTGGTAATCGTTACATCCCTAGTCCAAACTGAGTTTAATAAGATTATTTTAGTGTTTTTGAAAGAAGTATCTTCTGTTTACCAAGGCTGCATTTTATCCTCAGTTGTTCAAATCGCGGTAATCGAATACAGTTATAGTGATAATTAAGATATGAAACGGTAATACTAACCGTGGGGTATTTTATCACGATTTATCGTCAAACCGGTAATCGTTACATCCCTAGTCCAAACTGTGAGTTTAATAAGATTATTTTAATGTTTTTGAAAGAAGTCTCTTCTGTTCACCAAGGCTGCATTTGTTTGATCAAAAATACAGTAATTATGAAACATTATCACAATTTAAAATAAGTTTTTTCCATGTGAGTATACTATAAAGTGTAATTTATTCCTGTGATGCAAAGCTGAATTTTCAGCAGCCATTACTCACATGGTCCTTCAGAAATAATGCTAATATGCTGATTTACTCCACAAAAAATATTTCCTATAATTGTCAATGTTGAAAACAGTGCTGCTTCATGTTTTTGTGGAAACTGTGCTACTTTTTTTCTGGATGAATAGAAAGTACAATAAAAAGCAATTATTCTAAATGTCTTTACTGTCACTTCTGATCAAACGAATGCACCTTTGCTGAATAAAAGTATTTATTTCCTTAAAGTCTTTCAGCAAATGGAATCGCTTTCTAGGCGGACCCATTTGTTCATGACACTGCCTGACTGTACATTATCCCTCACTTAGCAAATCCGTCTTTCCTTCTCTTTTAGCTCTGATTGTCCACGAAGGTCCCTCCGTATTTCGCATCTTTAACCGCTGGCAGGCTGTTAATCAGCAGTGGAAAGTCTTAAACTACGACAAGGTGAAAGACAATGAGGAGCATCAGAAGACCGGTGCCACATTCCGGACCCTCACTCTGCCGCTGACGCACCGAATGGGGCTGACCGGCACAGAAGGTGAAGCCTCCACCTCCACGTCCTCCCTCATGGCTGCAGCTGCAGCGGCCACCATAACCCCCACCACAAACTCCATCCCGTTGGCAGCAGGTGCCACGACAGAGCCGCAGGACTCATCTGAGCCCAGCAATGGGCAGCCCTCGCTGCCAGACCACCACTGTGCTTATAACATCCTTCATCTCCTCAGCCACCACCTGAGGCCCCAGGAGCAGCGTGGACAGACCAGCAACAGCAACCACGAACTGGTCATGAGAGTCACTACAGTGTGAGGCCTTCGATGAAGTCCAGTTTACGGTTGAATCTCTGCATGCGACGTATTTAAAAGAAAGGATTCAGAGGAGAATTAAACCATGTTAACCGACGACCCAGTGCAGTGCTGTCTGGGTTTAAGGCGTTAGTTTTTTCTGTTTTTTACAGTATTGAATAAAACAAGGAAGCAGTTTCTCTCACAGTGGCTACAGGAAATAGTATGGCCATAAAGCTTCACATGTGAGTAACTGAGAAAGGACAAAGGTCAGTGGGGTGGAGTCTCCGAGTGTGTGTATTGAGTTTTATTGTCAGCTCAAGGCCACAGTCAGAGCTGTGACCGTTCTGAAGCACAACCATAACAATGCAATCCAGTTTCTACACTGACAGCCGCTGCTGAACTAAAACAGCTCAGAGTGAAGAACAAACGTGTTTGTATGTAAAACACGCATTACACTAATTTTACGATTACTACATGTTGTATTTTCAGATAAAATCTTATTAATGTCACTTGCGACAGTGAGCAAGTCTAAATCGGTTTCCTAACAAACCAAGTGGGGTATTGAAGGATCATACTGTTGTGTTTACACTCACAGGCAGTATGTTTTTTAGCGAAATCAATCCTCTTTGTCTTCTCTCAGTCTTGTACATCAGTAACAGGAAACCACGTTACAGTGGAGACAACTTGCAGCAAACATTTTCGAAACTACAAAAAAGTGGCCCAATTTGAGGCAAATTCTTGGTCAACTGTTATTTTGTTTACATTTGTTAAATTTGTGAGAGAAAAAAGGTTGCTACATTAAAAACAAAACAAATCAAACTGGTTTAACTGTTGTATGCGTCTGTTTCTCTTCTGGAAATAGCTGCTGCCACACAGCATTCAATCAAATCATTCATTTCAGTAATGCATTTAATGTGTTTCCTTTCCAAGCCTGAGGCTTCAAGCAATCAAGAGCACTTGAAATGTTTACATTAATCCCATTTTTATTATAACAATTAAATTTTTTTCTCAAAACAAATACAGACAGAAAGTGGATCTAAGTGGCTCAGTGCTAAAAAGCAGGAAACAGCACCAGTGCCTCCTCCAAGCCTGACCACAGTCTGTTAGTCTGCGAGTAATCATATATGCCTTCTCCTTCTGGTAATGCTCCGCTCCTCGTGATTTCTCAATTTTAGAAAGAGAGGAAAAGACTGAACAATTAAAGCCCAAGCAAATGAACTGTTTGGACAGTGCACCTCCAGATCTAAGAACAACTTGCACAGAAATAATCACAAATTGAGTTTAATGCATTTGATGACAGAAATGAGGTACAAGTTGGAAACACTTAAATAAATCAGTGTGGGATTGGTGATTTGAAGATGAAGAGTGAATAGGCCTATATTATGTTTGAATAATCATGGAGCAGAAAAATCATTGCATAATATAACCTAATAATTAAAAATTAGTTGCAGCAATGCAAAACATTCACAGCACTTCCTCTAAACAATGCTAAATGTACTCAGAGAGTAGAGAGAGACAGGGAGGGAGTGTCAACAGCTTACATTGACTGCATTGAAAGATGCGTTCAAACTGCTGCTGATGTGTGGTTAGTTCCATGTGAAACAATAAAACCAAGGCACAAGAGATCGAAGTGTTTTGACATTTCCTTCACTGGAATCCAGCTAAATTCCAGGCAGATGGATACATTATAGTCATAATGAAAAAAAGGGAAAAAATTAACAAATGGTGGAATGTTCCATCTACTCTACTAGTGTCTTTGTTTGCTCATCCACAGCGACTGATGATCTTCAGAACCTGCAGGTGATCTGCTACTCCAGTTCCACCAGTAGATCTCCCTCTCCGACTGTATCTCCAGCTTTACAGTGCACACTCTTCACCTGAACGATAACACACATTCTATTAGGAGAGTCCAACCATTCTGCATCTGAAAAAGCTGTGTGTTGAAGTCATTCAGAGATGTCAATCAAACACACTGGACACAGGAAGCTTCCCAGAGAAACGTTGGAGAAAATGATCTAACAAGAAATTAATGCTTCCATATTAAGACAGACAGAAAACCCTGCTTAATTAAAATCACACAAAGAAATATCTTTGCAACCACTTGACATTGTTTCTGTACAGATCTTCCTACACAAATGCATACAGATGATTCTTTAATTAGGACAACACTTTGGGCCCCTAGAATAATTTTAAAGTAATTTCTTTCTTTTTTTCTATAAATTATAATTATAATTTATTAATTTGAATACTTTTTGGGGTAAAAACTGATGTTAATGCTTCAGTGATTCTAAACTTTACTATGAACCTGGAGTATTTTAAGAAAAATACACACATGCTGCATGAAGCTGCATTATTTTAGCATCACTAAGATACTATTATAGTTTTCAGATTAATATTTTTAATTAGTTTTATTTCTATATTTTGCATTTTCATTTTAGTTTTGGCAATTGATGTCATTTTTATTCGTTTTATTTACATGTTTATACAGTTTTTTTAAATTAATTTGTATTATTAGTTTGTCATTTTAGTACATCAAATACATCAATCAAACTAAGTCCAAACGAGAAATGTCTTGGCAACTAGCTGAAAAATATTATATGTAAAAATGTTTTACATAAAATTATTTTTATGGTTTTAGTTTTAGTTAAATATAACAACCCTGACATTAAAAGGTTAGTTTACCCAAAAATGAAAATTCAGTCATTAATTACTCACCCTCATGTCGTTTCAAACCCGTAAGCCCTTCGTTCATCTTCGGAACACAAATTAAGATATTTTGATGGAATCTGAGAGCTGTCTGACCCTGCATAGACAGCAACGCAACTGAAATGTTCCCAAGTCCAGAAACGTAACAAGGAGATCTGTAAAATAATCCATGTGACATCAGGGGTTCAACTGTAATTTTACGAAGCTACGAGAATACTTTTTTTGCGCAAAAGAAAAAAAATAACTTTATTCAACAATTTGTCTCCTCCGCATTACTCTGTAGCACCATTTTGGAGAATATCCACTGCGTAAACAACGTATGCTGTTCTGTGTCAGCTGCGTCACACGGATACGCTGTTTCCATTCAGATCAAATCACAACAACGTAGGAAACAGATCCGGCGTGACGCAGCTGACATAGAATAGCATACGCTGTTTACATCCAGCTGATACTCTCCAAAATGGCACCAAGGTGATGCGGAGGAGACTAATTGTTGAATAAAGTTGAGGGTTTTTTTCTTTTGCACACAAAAAGTATTCTCGCAGCTTCGTATAATTGCAGATGAACCACTGATGCCACATGGATTATTTTACAGACATCCTTGCAACGTTTCTGGACTTGGGAACATTTCAGTTGCGTTGCTGTCTATGCAGGGTCAGACAGCTCTCAGATTCCATCAAAAATATCTTAATTTCTGTTCCGAAGATGAACCAAGGTCAAATGCTAATAGTGTGGATAGTGGTCAGTGTGGATAATGGGCCGCGGCCCCTCGCTCTCTCTCTCTCTCTCTCTCTCATGGTATTGGGTACTGTAATGTAGCTATGTGGAAGAGTGTGTTCTTTATGTCATATCGATTTATGATGCACAGAGTAGTGAGGAGGATTATGTATCAACTTATGTATGTGTGTGTGAGCTCACCTTGGCAGTCTTTGCTGCGGTCATGCTGTTCTGCATCTTCATGGCTTCAATCACACAAATCTCCTGTCCCTCTGAAACCTTCAGAATGCCAAAGAACAATAAACCACAACAGCTATTCCACAATGAGTACTTTATAATAACTTCTTAAAACATATGACTCATAGAATATCTTCCCTCCATATATTTAAAGGGGTCATATGATGTGATTTAAATTTTTCCTTTCTCTTTGGAGTGTTACAAGCTCTTGGTGCATAAAGAAGATCTGTAAAGTTGCAAAGACTAAAGTCTCAAATCCAAAGAGATATTCTTTATAAAA